GAACGCGACCCAACCAGGGGGCACACAGAAAAATTTTAGCCAGCGGCCGTTGAGAAGCGTTGGACTCCAGCCTCTCCCACCTCGAGACCCAAACCTAGGCATTGTTCAAAGGGCGGGATATTCGTGGGTGGAGGGGCGTGTTGGCAAGCTTGTTTGTCAGGCCGGGTAAGGTTGGAGATGTAGGTACCCAACGGGCTTACACAAGTGGGCGGGCGAACGAACTCCTCCAACTTGCACACCGCATCAGATGTTGCAAGGCACAATGCGCTGGAAAAGGAAAGACGATGAGTAGCTAGTGGAGTTGTACCGCATGTGTGCATTTGTTCTGCTCGACATTCATGCAGCAGCACCCACGACAAGATCAAACTCGAGCTTGCGGACACGCTAGATAGTAGACACTGGGCAGCGGAGAGGGAACCTGGGAGCCAGGCTGCCGTTGCTACTGCTACAATAATCGTCGACCTTGCTGTTCAGCCGTGCCTCTAAGTGGGAGAACCTTTACAGTTAACCAAATACGTCCAAGGACGGGGTCAAAGAAGGAATTTCTGCTGCATGTCTGATGCGTGTGAAGCGCATGCATTGCGGGCAACGCAGACACTGGCGCGTGTGGGTGTTGGAGGATCAACTGTTTGGGATTCGGAGGGTCCGTCTGCAGTTTGTCTGGTGTGATAGCAGAGGGGCGTGTGTATCATCACTCTATGTATCATTGGAAAGCATCCAACGAGCCTGATAGGCAAGATAAAATCGTCCACTGCGCATACGCCAAGAGTTCATCGTCCACCATCGGAAAGAGAGCGGCTGACGGTTATCGCCAACGGCTGTGATGGGGGCGACACCAATTTGGCCATCCACCTTTCAAGCTGACAACCAAAACCACCATCCGGAAGTCATGGCTGAAGGCAGCACCAAGTACAAGTACTGAGTAGCCCGTGGGTTCGATGCGCGGTGGGTGCTGTTAAAAAAAAAGTGCAATACATGTAGGGACCAGACGCAATTTGCCCAGCTTGATTCAAGTTGGGCAATATAAAAGAGTCCTCGGATTGGATGGCCAAGTCAATGGAAAATTTCGGAGTCGGCTGAAGAGCTACTTATCGTTGGTGAAAATACGGAATCGCCTCTTGATCTGGGGCCAATGCTGAGAAAAAAAGAAGGGGGAGGGCTGGACCAAGCTGGCGAGTGCTAGTAGCTGATTCCGCATGAATGTCCAAAGTAGTATCATCACAGAACCCACACTTTCGAATTATTTGTCTGCCACAAGCATAATGAAGTTAATTAACAAGGCACGGCACAGCACCGGTGGCAAGCCACAAGAATGGTTGTGCCCAGCTTGGCTTATTACACGTCACGGGTTCGCCTGAATCGTCTTGGGCCAATGTCAAACTGGTATATTGAATGAGCTCGTTGCGAGGCGCCAGATTTAGAAGTTTGGAACGTAGCCCCAGCCTAGTTGTGGCCCGAGATTTGCGCTCGCTCACTCCGTGGACCCGGCAAGTTTCCCTGAGGAACCAGACCCCATATACAAAGCCTTAGGCCTTGTGCGTTTGAGGTTGAGCAGTCCTTCACACCGCTCGCTCTGAGCGTGTATTGCTGGCATGACGTGTGAGTCTGGATATTGCAGAAGAGCCGAAGGGGGCCAGCCAAGTAGTATCAATATACAATATAGCCACTGGATATGCAGCCAAGGACAACGATTGGTGGATTGAATCGGGGGGAGACTCTGGAGGGTTTCGTACAAGTCTAGGGCGCATGGCTACATTGTACATACGGGACATTTTTTTTTTTGGCACAAGACCAACAACAACGCCGTGCAAGAGGGCAAGTTGCAAAAAGTCTATGGTGCACGGCCCACGGCCAGCGGCCAACGGGCTGCGTGGCCCAGATGTCGGTTGTTGATGTCAAGGCTTGGTTTGTCTTGGGTGTTCTTCGGCGCTTGCCTGTCAACTCGTGTGTCCCGACGCCTCAATGCCCCCAGGCGCCCCCCCATGCCCCCCATGCCGCACAGGCAATCGCTCTTCAAGTCGGCTGCCCTGCTTGGCCCACGCCCCCATTTTGACTTCATCCTCTGGCACACGCCCCTTCCTTCAAGATGGAAGCATGAAGCGCTCAACGGCTGCCACCGTATTACCCACTGCCCACCGCCGCCCACTGTGCCATGCTCAAGGACCCGTTCCCCAGGGCCATGACTGGCTTGATACACCCCAAAAACGCATGGCTTCCCATTGACACCGGGTTCCTTGGTCTCTGGTTGCTCATGCATTGTCGCGCTAGGTAGCCCTATATTGGACGTAGCTCATTTGGAACCCAGCCGGCAAGCAAGCAATCAAGCAAGCCTCTCCTTTCCTGCGCATGTACGGAGCATTATGTACGTATGTATTGATAGCCGGCGCCTCGGGACACTGACAGGGCCGGGACAAGCTCGAGGTCTGGGACTGGGATTGGGTGCCAGGAGCCGGGAGTCGGGTCGTGAGGACTTGCGCGCCCACTGGTATTGTATTGTGCAGTCCGGTACCCCGTACTCTCACCGTACATACACTCATGCTGTTCAATGTTGCCCATTCCTGCTCCCTCTTCCCGGTGGTCCTCGTGCTCTTGCCCCATCCCATGTTGCTTGCTTTGCCGGCAGAGGAAAGAACGGAAAGAACCAGACCAGACAAGACAGGAGCAACGTGACCTGCCGTCTCACCGGCATTGTCTCGATTTTGGAACTTGCAGCCGGCCATCTTCCTTGTTCCCGGAGGACGCGAGTCTGGTGCCAAGTACTCCGTACCTCGGGTCGTCTAGAAGCATGCAGACACTCTAGGCACGCTGGAGAGGTACCCAGGTACCCAGGTACTCCGTACTCATGTCTGGTAATAACATGTTTCCCCTCGATGTCATATCCCAACTTGAACCACCAGGTCGTGCGCACGCAGCGAGAGCCGGTTGCCACTTGCTATCCTCAACCCCGGATGCCACAGCGTCGGTGCTGGAGGAACAGAGCAGGTATCAGACACGGTACACATTGTATGTACATATGTACATGTGTATTATTCCCTGCTCCGTATTGTCCAGAGCTTGCCGTGCAATACTGCACATGCCAAACAAGGCCTGTTTGTATGTATGTATGTACTTAAGTACTTAAGTATGTATTGTAATGGCCATGTCGGCACACCCAGTCTCTTGGACCGCCTTCGTTGCTTTTGCCGCTTTTTTTCTCCTGACCCCTGTCGGCGACCCTCTTTGGAGGCCATTTCTCTCTTCCATCTGCAAACCCTGGAACCAGCAAGCTCCCGGCCGCGCAGGCCCGCCTCGTCCCTGCACATGTGCAATGTGGGCAATGTGCTCACACCCCCCTGCCTGGTCCTGCCCTGTCTGCCCTGTCTGCCCTGCCCTGTCTGCCCTGCCCTGTCTGCCCTGTCCGGTCCTGCCCTGTCCTGCTTGATGCCTCATCCGACCATGATTGACGTTTCTCTTTTTTTTCTTCTTCTTCTTCTTTGCACGCTGTTGCTTCTTGTTTCCGCTTGGCAATCCTTTGCCCAAAGCCATAACTGCCAGCCCGTATTGCATATAGCACACCGTTGACATATTGCACGTACGACGCATACCCAGGCCCCAGGCCCCAGGCACCAGGCACCCTGACTCCATACTTGAGCACTACTACTCCCATTGCTCCGTACAATACGCACTTACATGCCGCTACGCGTGAGGCCGTCTTCTTCTTTGCTCCATCCCCATCCCAACCGGCGTCGACTCCGGACTCCATACTCTGGTCCATCCCAGCTTGCCTACCTGCTTCGGTAGGTATATATGGAGTGCCCTAGGGACTGTCCTGGCTCGTTTCCCAGCGTCTGGTTTGCCTCATCTACACTCATCTCGACCCTATTGGTGGATAGCGAACCCCAGCATAACCAATCATACGGGTAAATGCCATTTATAAACACAATCAACAAGGAGTCGATGTGTCCTTGACTAGCCCGAGACATATCGGATGCGCTTCCTCGCCATCTTCCTCTCCTTGGACAACTTCTTCCTGCACCCTTCTACTACACCATACCTGCTCAGCCAGTCCAGCCAGCCCAGCCAGCCCAGCCAGTCCTTAGCCACCAGCCTGAGAACGAGATAAACCGTCCGATCATCCAGGCCGTCAAATCGTCAATCCGTCAAACCGCCAAATCCGTCAACCTGCCAGTCCGTCACACATTGCCAAGCCTTTGAACCTTCGCACTCGCCATCCGACGCCCAGTAGCAGCTTGAGTCATTATACACTGTCGTCACACATCTTCCTCTCTCGGCCGTTTCAGCTTCCTATATTTGGACCATATTTCTCTTACAGAACTGCCATCTCGAACTTGCCAACTTGAACTTTTCTGTGCGCTCCAGAAATTGACACGGCAACCACAGGACCACCAAGACCTTCATACACAGACACGCACGGAAACCCAAGGTCCAGCATCGACCACGACTGCTCTACTCGAGAGATTCCATTCCTGCCTGCGACACACCTAGGCATATCGTTTACCCTGCCCCCTCCTGTGTGCTGGTACACCGCATCGTCTGAGTGACTCCATCCGCCCCAAAAAAGACCAAGCCCCTTGAATCCAAAGCCAGTGTCAAAGCCCAACGGGTGACGCCTGTTAGGCAGTCAGCGAGAAAAACTGGCCCAACTCAAGAGCCAGCCTTTGCTCTGCCTCCCGCGGGCAGAGCCACCGTTCGGCGTCATCAACAACGGCGACATCGGTTTCATACGCGGACACCAAGCCTCTGTACACGGACATTGTGCCGCTACAAGAGGCAGCACGACCATCAACGTGGATATAACTTCACTCCTAAAGTCTTCCGACTCAAATGAGTCCCAAGGCTTCTCTCACCAACCCTTGCGCGATCCAGCACCACCCTCCCATTCGATTCCGACGTTATCTGCCCATGGACAACAACCACCTCCACCACTAATCCCAGGAACCGGGGCCGTGCCTCCTCCACGTCCTGTCGGCTCTATACCGATGCCCGGTCCCCGACGTAGCATGCCACCTCAAGGTTCAGATCTGCCGGTCAAGAAGCAGAGCAAGTGGTCACCGGAGGAAGATGCCCTCATCATTGAGCTACGGGGCAGCGGGATGAAGTGGGAGGATGTGTCGAAGCGTCTTCCTGGAAGAAGTGCCATAAGTTGTCGGCTTCACTACCAGAACTACCTCGAAAGACGCAGCGAATGGGACGAAGAGCGCAAGAATAAACTTGCCCGACTTTATGAGAGGTAAGCCGCTTCTTTTGCCTTTCTTTGCTTTCTTGTCCGCGGCTGGGGTCTAATACGGCAATTATTTACGCGGTTTCCACCGCCACCGTGCCACATACCCAGACAGACAAGGTCTAACAATCCAACAGGTTTAAATCAGAGATGTGGGCTAAGGTGGCTGAAGAACTTGCTGTTCCCTGGAGGGCTGCAGAAGCAATGCATTGGCAACTTGGCGAGGCGGACATGGCTCGAAGGGCCGGAGTGGTTCCATTTTCTCTCGCGGCGGTCAATGTCGAAGGCGGTCATCGAGCTGCACCACCACGAGCTAACATTCACTTCCAGCCTCCTGACACTGTCGGTCGACACCTCACTCCACCTTCTCCTCGAGCAATGTACGCCCGAAATCCTCCTGTCTCGGCAATGTCCACTGGTCATATACCAAGAGGCGAAAATGTTGGCGCGCCGGTCCCTCCGCCCCTCGCAGGGGCTGGGCCCGCGCAGGGATCCATGACGGAGCAACACGGCGAGTTTTATTATAGCCCAGGGCCTGTATCTGTCGGTCCTGGTCTTGCTCCTATCCAACACCAAGGGCAGCCACGGAATCCTGGACCATTGCCTAGTCTTGCTGAACTTACGACGGGTGTCAGCCCATACGCGCAACAACTCGATCGACCACGTTCAGGGCGTCTGACTCCAGGCCCAAAGCATGGGATGCCGATGCAGACTCCCCCTAGCTATCACCAACAACTTGATGCCAGAGTGAAGCGCCGAGCGAGCCCAGAAACGATGAAACGCGAGGGAAGCCACCGACGACGATTGGGGTGATTCAAAGCTGATTTTTTTTTCTTCACTATTCTTATCTTTTTTTTTATGATCCATCTTTCATATAAGCAAGGGTTTAAATCATGGGGAAACATTCAAATAGAGGGAAAGCGAAATTTCATGGGATACTTTGGAAGGGTTTAAAGCGAGCGATTATGCATACTAGGAGCGGCGGTATTTGTTAACGACACCATTCCACTATCTTTTTTTTTTATTTCTATTTTTCTATTTTTATTTTTTATTCTTCTACAAGATACCACTAAATCTATCATCGGTCTGTGAGCTTCTGGTACAACAGGGAAGGGAGGGATTACTGAATGATGCGGATATGGAGGACATTATGGTTGGAATACAACAAGCACAGGGACTGGGTGCATTTCTTGATTTAAAGAGCTGATACGGGGCCAGTTGGATTGGCTGATAGCTGGTGATTCATGAACTGTACGTATAGAGGCATGGGCTGGAAAGACAAAAAGGCATTACATAGAGCCGCTATGGCAGTAATTCGCATATTTTACAGGATGAGGGTATGTTTAACTTGATGTTTTTTGCCATGGCCCAGGAATTTGCTCCGACGGACGGAGCCCATGTAGTTGATAATTGTCAATCTAAGAAGTTAGGAAAGTGCCATGCGATGCCAACTTTGCCCATGACGTTGACGTACACACGCTCACACGCACCACAAGAGGTAATCCGTCTGGCATTGGCCGTCCAACACTTGATGTCATGCATATGCTTTGTGTATATATATATATATATATATATGTATGTATGTATGTATGACATTTCATATATTCATTCACACGCCGTCAACGTCACCTCGTATGCCCAAAGATGACCCACCAGTTATCCCTCTCATAGCCCCTGTCGCAAACCTCGCCGCCGGCGGCAACAACGTCCTCCTCGAGCTCGCCCTCCCTAAACAGGTGATAGTAGCGGTGGTGCGTCTCGTCGGGCTGGGCGCCCTTGCGCAGCGTCACCCACGGCACCAGCGTGTCCTGGCGCGAGGACTCGTCCCACCCCCTCCTGCTGGCCCTCTGCTCCAGGGCCCAGACGTAGACGAGGGCCCTGCCGCGCGGGGCCAGGCAGCCGAGCATCTGGGCGAGGGCGTCGCGCCGCCGCTGCCGCGTGGACAGGTGGTGCACGACGGCGATGCAGATGACGAAGTCGACGGAGCGGGGGCGGTAGGGGAGCGACAGGCCGTCGGCGGTGACGACGTCGGCGGCGCGCTCGGCGCGGGCGAGCCGCGCGAGGGAGGGGGACCGGTCCGACGCGAGCATGTGCAGCGTCGGGTTGACGGGGATGTATTTGCCGTTGCCGCAGCCGACGTCGAGCCCGACGCTGCCGGGGGCGAGGGACGTGAGGAACTGCTGGACGAAGGGCCAGGGCTTGTGGCGCGTCGCGCTGAAGTGAGGCGCGATGGCTTCGTAGACGGCGTGCACGTGGGCTTGTTCGTAGGCCGCTGGGGGGGATGGAGGCGATGACATATTTTTGGCGGGGGGTGGATATGAGGAGTTGATGCGTCTGAGGTGGCTGGATTGTGTTTTTCTGGATGGTCCGGGGTGCTGCGATATCACGGTGTGGGCATGTCAGATGGTGCGTTTTAGTTGGCGTTGAGTTGCGCGGCTGGTGGTGTTGGACATGTTGGGTGTGGTGATGGGGGAAAAGTTTCTCGTTTTGGTGTTGATGGGGTGAGGTGAGCCCGCTGGTGGTTCAGTTCTACCTAGTTTGTTCGGTCTGCACGGGCCGATGGCGTCGACTTGTGCACAAGGCTCCCGTGCTTGATGCCGTTTGCTCTTTTTTCCTCCTTTACTTTTTCTGTTTGGCTATTTTACGTACTGGTAGTTGTACGCGTGCTTCATCATATCAATCTACGCATGGTGTTGACATGAAGTCGAATCCCTGCCCCACCAATCACGTGCCAGACCAGTCAAAGGTACCTATGTACTCCGTATGTATGTACTACGCACTCTGGTATGCTTACAAAAAATATAGACGAGACCGGCGCACCACGACGCGAGTCGTATTAATGCCTCTGAACCCCCGCGGCTTGCAACACTGCATTTCAAATTTGCCAGTCTCGGCCAACCTTAAATACACGGGCCATGCGAATGTGAGGCCTTTTCCCCCCCTTCCCCTCTCTACTGCCCAATCCTTGATGCCTACTCCGCACTACAAGAGTCTTCCAGAACAATAACTACCAAGTACCTGCTTAGGAGAACAAATTAAAGCAGTTCACCAAAAACCCGTTGTAGGCCAAGACACTCCTCAAAATGTGACAACAACGGGCACACCACCCCCTTGTACCTGGTCGCGAACGCCAAGTGGACTTGACACATGGGACACCCACCCCATCCATGCCGCAGGGTGTTCCTTGGTTGGGGGCGCAGAAACTCAGCTGGGATCCCGGTCGTGGGCGGGGAGAACTAGGGGAGGGGGGAATAATACGGTGCGTGACGAGATGAGTTTTGAATGGGCGTCGTCTCCTTTGTCTCGGAGCATTTTGGGTTTTGGGACTCTGGCCTGTGGTTGTATTGCTAATTTGGTCGATTATGCGGTTTTACAACAAAAAGTCAATATTCGTGTGTCGGTTGCAACTTTGCTGCCTGGCCGCGTCGCGACGGTGGGCCAGCGCATTACAAAGATTAAAGCATGTGCGGTGATGCCGCGGTGAGAGTGGCGCCAGTTTCTGGTTTTTTTTTTTTATATCCGGGCCTTTTTTTCTGGGTTGGAAAGGGGAAGTAAAAGAGAGAGCCAAATCTGACGAGTCCTCGTGCTATTCGGCGGCGGCGGCGCAATGACGGACCGATCTCGTGCTAAAGATGGGCCGAATCGAATAAAGGGAAAAAAACAAAAAACGGAGTTGGCTGTTGCCTGCATGAACGGCCATATGAGGCTCGGGTTGGCCGAAATGGAATAACATGTCTAAGACAAGAGACGACGGGCGGGTACGGGGACTGAAGAAAAAAACAGGAAAAGAACGTTTAATTGATTAGGCAGCGGGGGGGAGGGGAGTCTCGCTTTTTCTTTTCTTTCTTTCTTTTTGTTTGATCCTTGTCATCTTAGTTACACACCCTCCTTCTTCTTGGCCCCCGCCCGTTCTTTTGTATCATTGTGGGAAATGCTCGAATATTCCAAAGAGTCGAGTTGATCAATACTGTACGTATGTATGTACGTAGTTGCAGTTATTTGTTTCCCGTGTTCAGTGGACTCTTTGCGTCAAAGACATCCGTGGTTATCAGGTCGGGGTAGGCGACGCCGCCTTGCCTGAGGGCGTCGTCCATGGTCTGCATGATGACGATGCTCTCGTCCCATGGCATCGTGGCGCTCTGCTGCTTCCCGTCGCGCAGGCACCGTGCGCACTCGTCTGCCTCCCAGAACATGCCGTGGCCCCAGTTGCCGCGCGCCGGGTCCGTGGGGATCGGGCACTCGACCACCTCGACGGTGCCGTCGCCGTCCTTCTTGATGACGCTGTAGGAGAGCGGGCGGTACGCAGGGTGCGGCACTTGGATTTCGCCCTTGGACCCCTGGATGCGGATGGCGGGTGCCGCCGTCGCGTCGCCGTGCGGGCTGGTGCCGACGAGCATGGACGTCGTCGCCACGCCCATGGCCCTAGTGCCCGGGAAGTGGCAGATGATGCTGGTATTTTCGTCGGCCCCCGTGCGGTACTGGTTCATGGCCGCGAGCACGCGCGGCGCCTCCTTGGTCGCCGACGGCTGGACGTGGTAGAGCGTCTGGAAGACCCAGGTGAGTGGGTAGACGCCGAGGTCGAGGAGCGCGCCGCCCGCGAGGTCCTTGTTGACCATGCGGTGCGTGTCGGGGAAGCTGACAATGCCATCTGTCTGCGGCGTGTTTTCGTTGAACGAGAGGTCGGCCAGCGTCCTGTAGACGGTGCCGATTTCCCCACTGCTAATCATCTCGCGGATCTTGATGCTCAGCGGGAAGTATCTCGTCCAGACGGCCTCCATGAAGAACAGCTTCTTCTCCTTGGCCTTGGCGACCAGCTTCCTGGCCTGGCTCGCCGTCACGGTCAGCGCCTTCTCGCAGAGCACGTTCTTGCCGGCTTCCAGCGCCAGCATGGCATTCTGGAAGTGGTGGCTATGCGGGGTGGCGACGTAGACGATGTCGACGTTGGCATCAGCGACGAGCTCGGCATAGGAACCGTATGCCTTGGCCGTAGACGGGCCGTCGATCTTCTTGATAAAGTTGGCGGCGCGGTCTGCCGAGCTGGAGGACGACACAGCGACGATTTGGTGTTTGATGTCGTGCACGGAGCGGGTGGCCGGGTTGGTGAGGAGGTCTTTGCAGAAGGCTACCTGACGTTAGCTTGGGCGATGGCCGAATCACGAGGTTTTGATAAAAACGGCCAGCCTTACTCTCTGCGATGCCGCCCGTGGCCATGATGCCCCATTTGACCGTGTATGGAGTTCCAGAGGCCATTTTTGTATTGCGTTGTCGGTGGGTGGGTTGTCTTCTCTTTTGAAATGGTGGCAAGGAGGGTTGTTTTGGGTGTTTTTTTATGATGACTGCACACGATGACGGCAATGACCGACGCAGCTTTTGTTTTTGTAGATTTGTAGTGTAGCAGGCAGCTTCTTGTCCGAATTGCGCAACGAGCTGGCTTAGCCGCCCCAATCAGGAGTCCTTCACGGATGGAGATCAAGTCATGGCGCGGGAGCTTCAAGCTACGTTGAACAGATGGCGGGGCTCGTGTGGTCACTGGTGACATTCGGAGCGAGCGCCACTGGGTAATTGTTTCATATTGTGCTGCTTTTTCTTTCTTGATGTCGTGATGTTTCTTCTGTCGAAGCAAGTCTCAAGCGTGCCCATCTCAGTTTATGCTGACAAAGTCCGATCCTCGACCTCTTGCGCACTTTTGCCTCGATTCTATTTGCCCCCCCAACCGAAACACATTGGCTTTCGGAGATTTTCTACCAATTCAGGCTGTGGATAAAATACTAGTGAGCCTTGGCTGAGAGGGAATCCGGCAGCTGGAATCCTTGGGAGGTGACGAGAAGCATGAGGGGTTAATGGCGGGGTAAGATTCCAGTCCGAGCCCGGCGCCCACTTTCCCTGCCTGTGCAACTGTGAACATTTCAAGTGTGGAGCAGGCAGCTACGGAAGCCAGGTGCCGTTTGTGGACGTCATCTCCGGCCCTCCAACATCAACGTTACCTCTGGTCGTCAGTCGCTTCATGGTTCCGGCCTTGACGACGCTGGCGGAATTCAATCTACGGCTGCTCGCATCTGTTCATGTCGGAAGGACACACTATCCGCGTTGAAGCCTTGCAGTAGTACATGTCGCTATGAACTCGTTGATACCTCGGAGCTCGGAATGGGGCTGAGGTGGTCGTTGATCAACTGCGAGCTTTACCCAATCATGTTTACGCCCAGGACCACTTCACAACTCCGACGCTGGCCACACATCTGGCAGGATTCCCATGCTAGATGGCACGCTTTTGTTTCCCTGCCAACTTCCGGTTTTCACAGTTTCTGCCATGGCTCAAGCTGGCGTAGGATCCCAGGCTTCTCGCCTCGCCAAGGACCTAACCCTCGCCGGCCAGTCCGCCACCACGATCCCCAGGCTGGTATACGGCACGGCGTGGAAAAAGGAAAGGACTGCCGATCTGGTATACGCTGCGCTGAAGGCCGGCTTCCGTGGCATCGACACGGCTGCGCAGCCCAAGCATTACGACGAGCTGGGCGTGGCTACTGGTGTGAAGCGTGCCATTGCCCATGGCATCATTACGCGCGGAAACCTATTCGTATGTGCCACATTCATCGAGGGAGCCCAGTGATAGCATATACGACTGACCTATACATGCCGTAGATTCAAACCAAGTTTACTGCTCCAGGGGGCCAAAACCACATGACGCCATATGACCCCAATGCCCCTCTAGCCGAAAAGGTCGACCAGTCGATCCGCTCGTCACTGAAAAACTTCACCATTGAAGGGGAAGAGCCATACCTCGACAGCGTGGTGCTTCACTCGCCCATGGACACGATCCAGGACACCATGACTGTTTGGAAGACGCTCGAGTCCTACCACCCCCGAACGATCCGCAATATCGGCATATCCAACACCACCCTGCGCGTGCTCGAAGCCCTCTACACCAACATGACCGTCAAACCGTCGGTTGTGCAGAACCGCTTCTACGATGGCACGGAATACGAGACGAGGATCCGTGCTTATTGTCGCGGCAAGGACATTGTCTTCCAGTCGTTTTGGACCTTGAGCGCTAACCCGTCGCTGGTGAAGAGCGGGCCCGTGAAGCTGGTTGCCCGGGGTGCTGGTGTTGAAGTTGCAGCCGCGTACTATGCGTTGGTAATTGGACTGGAAGGTGTTGTGGTTTTGGACGGGACGACAAACGAGTCTCATATGAAGGAGGACCTGGAGGGACTGGAAAGGGTGGGCGTATGGGCTGAAGGGCCTGGGGCTTCCGATTGGGCGTCTGCGCTGGCTGCGTTTAAGGACTTGATCGGCAATAACGGATAATCTCTGCAGAGTAAGAGAAGACGATGGACACGTATGTGCAGTCATGTAATCGTGAAATTGGCTACCAGGTCGTCGCGTGGCGTCTGTGCACACGACTCTTGACGCGAAGGCGTGCCAGAATCCTGCGAGACGGCTTACATTTGCGGTGCTCGTACAAGTGGGCGTCCTCAATCGTCTGCCTCCTATTCTTGAGCCTTCATGGTGAAACAAAATCTTTGCAACCCGCTTAAAATTGTCGGCATCACATGGACGATCCCCTGTGGTGCGTAGCGAGATCGTTACTTTTTGTCTGAGACCCGCCTAAACTCAGATCTGCGCCAAGTTCGCCTTGGACCTCACCGATACAAGGTAGTAGGTCCCATGTAAAATGTGCCCACGTTATTTTACTGTCCCTCTAGGATCGATGAGGCGATGCGAAGTTGAAGGTTGACAATAGAGTACGAATTGAAGCATCGTACTCTCAGTTTGCCACCGTGTGTGCCGAGTCACCAAGTACAATACAACCACAAACCAGCATATTATCGTATATGCAATAGCATCCCCGCGTGATGTAATGACACCTTCTCTGTCACATGTCGAAGGATTGCCTAAAGTCAATCTAATTGAACAATAAAACGCATGGGGTTGATGGGGAAAAAGTCAACAGTATAAGACACGTTGAAAAGGCCTTTTCGTCTTTCATTTCCCCGACCAGAAACAAGACTCCTGCGTGATGACACTCGGAACAATATTGAATCTTTGGCTACCGTGTATTAATTCGACCCCTGGCGACGGCTAGTCAACAGGGCGGCCGTTTTATTACAAGTCTTTGGCAAACGTGTTGGCAACAATAAATGGGAAGCAAGCAGTAGCCTCCATGTACACCTTGAAATTGTTTAGCATGCTAAATCGCAACCCGACGGCACTGCATCGACTTACCTTGACACTGTCCGCGCCTATTTTGATCTTGCCCCAGGAAACGGCCTCATCAGGCCGGGCGCCGGCATCGCTGCCGTCAAACTCCTGCGCGGTATTAATGTACACAGCGCTCTCGGCACCATTCCTCATCAAACAAGCATTCGCAATGTGGTGCTTCACAATACCACCTCCCAGAATAATCATGCCCGCCCTCTTGGCTCTCACCGAAATGGTATTTATCCTGCGTATATCCTCCACAATGTCAATCTTTAGTTGCAACGGCGACGCCTTGAAGGTGTGGAAGTACAGCATGTCTCCCAGGCTGCCATCCGTCAAAGCCGGACAGAAGACGGGGATGTCGTTCTTCCAAGCCCAGTAATAGACGGACCTTTCGTCGTTGATTTCCTTGCCCAGCCTGTGGATGATTTTCGACGGCGTCCAGTTGATTTCCTCGTCGGTGCCTTTGCTAGCCTCTTGCTCCTCCAGCATCTTGTCTAGTATGGGGACGACCCAGTCTTCAAAGGCGCAGTAGTTGGCGTTGGGGACGATGAGATTGCCGATGCGGTTGAGTCCCCTTTTGCGGAGGTCAGCGCCGGGCACGGAGAAGGAACTCATGTATGTCGTCCCGCTGCCGAGGCACTTGATGAAGTCTTCCTCTATGCCGCCGGCTGTGGTGACGATTGCTGAGACGTGCTTGTGTTGGGCGAGCCAGCGTAGGGTGCCGCGGAGCCCGGAAGAGATGAGGTTGGATGTGTAGCCCAGGAATATGGTCGTTTTCTCAGAAGTATCTGGGTCTTTCCATTCTCTCTGTTGAGATTGTTAGAAATGGTTTGTCGTTTGGGAAAGCCGGGAGGGGCTTGTTGTGGTGGTACGCTTTTATCAGCTGGTGATGGCGCAGAAGAAGAGGTGAAAAAAGGTTGGAGAATGTCTACTCGCCATCTCGTTTATGATTCGGATAGCTTCGGCCATACTTGATGCCTGGAAACCCATATGACGCATGCCGAGGAAGAGGTCTTCTGCGGTAATGGGCCGCTTGAGCTTGTTGAAGTCGAGCTCTTCAACGGGCTGCGAGCCGTCGGGCATGGCTTCCGACTTCATGAGCACTGCACCGGTGGCCTGCGAGGGTGGCGCATCCTGGGCCATGATGGCGACTGGGATAAGATGTTGTGTTGTGAGAGCTGGGGAGCGAGCGCGTGGCAGGCTATTATCTATGGTTTTGCCTTCTTTTATATTGTCTCTATGGCTCGTGATGGCGAAGTTGCGAGTCTTGAAATTGGGACAGTACAAAGTACTTGGTATCCATATTTATCACATGTTGTCGAATTTTTCTGCAGCTCAACGTCCGGCGCAAAGGAATAGTGGGCAAGCCGCCGTGGCAGCACTCAAGGGCTGGTGCTCTCTAATAAGTACCGTCGGTGAATGGCGGGCGTCCATTGATGCAGCGGGTGCCCAAGCTTAAAGTAAGTAAGTACCCGGTACCTAAGTACTTGAGTACCTGCGTGCTTAACACTTGGGCCCTCTGTACTCCGTACAAACCCAGGCACCTGCTTTGTACATGTGTAACTCGGCAACGGCCGTCGATGTTGAGCCTGGTTGGACTAATTCATTGGTCCTGCCTGGCCACTGACTGGCTGTGGGAGCGGCTGCAAACCCGATCAATTGGGCCTTATGTCAACGTTCCAACGTTGACTGGCGTCGGGACCATGATCAAAATATGCGTCATGACTGCGCCGGCGACAGGGCTTATAGCATCCGCCAATATTAAGCGCAAAATTCTAGCCTTCGTTGTTTCATTCACTAATAAGCTTAGAATTAGGTTTGTTTTTCTTCATCTTTGAACGCTTCATCGAGGGCAGCTGTCGTCCCAACACTCCAGATGTCCCTTTGAAATCAAAAGACCCCAGTGCCAGCCCAGTCAAGGTCGCTCAACACACGGCCCAATCATCGTCAAGTGGCCCCGTACTCCGTACCGAGAATAGACTAGCGTCATGGCGGCAGTTTCGTTCTTATTGCCTTGGCAATTAAGCGCCAGGACAGACACACAATTGAACATGGACGGGCTGGCGGACCCCAGCTGGGGGGCATCTTGCACTTTGCATCCATCTTCCCATCCGACTGCATTTTCAATATTTTCTGCTCGTCGCACGCTGTCGGCCGGTCGAAGCACCATTCAGCACATGTTAGGCGTCCCGGTCGGCCATTTTATCGCTTACTCTGCCGCGTTGACGCGCTCGCTGCCGCCCCGACTCGCGCAGTAGTCCACGTCGTCTGTGTCGCCAGTCTCGTCGAGCCAAATCTCGAAGGGGTCATTTGACACCCCCCGTGGCTGTGGTTGGTTCGCAATCCGCAAACCCGCCACCCGCCACCCCCGACGGCAACCACACAGTTATCCCGAAGCCCGGGGCCGCATTGAATCACCACCACCGCCCTGCATCCGGATGCGATCGTAATCGCCCTGCTGCGCCGAGGATACCGGGCCATTTGCATGTGTACACGATAAATGTATGTGCGAGTCCCTTGTTTGTTTATATTCGGGCAGGGCTGGTCCGTTGAACTCAAAAGTCACCGGGCTTAGTGCGGTTGACTTGGCTCGTGCATGGCCGCAAAGCTTAATCTGGAACCTGAAAATATTGAAATATTATGCTAACCATCAAACTTCCCTCCCAGGGCGTCTAGGTATTCTAGGTACGATCCGGAACGCCGGTCAAGATCGCCGAGAGACAGATCCCCGGACCGCTTTGACAGGGCCTCTCAATACGGCGACAACGATCGTCGTCGCTCGTCCGCCGAAGCCCGCTCTAATTCGTCAGGATTTCCGCCAAATCGCGATGGCTTCGGGGATTCCCTGCGGAGGGAGCCCCCAAGAGGCCCCAAAGCTCTTGTCGACGCCCCCAGCGGTCCCAGAGGAGGTGCATTTGGCGCTGACTTTCGCGGTCGAGGACGAGGCAGAGGCAGAGCTTGGCCCCCCAGAGACGAGAGCAGGGATCGTGGGAGGGATCGCGATATAGATTACAGGGACCGTTATCGAGAGGACCGTAGTCGCGAGCGGGAGCGGGAGCGTGATCGGGAGCGTGATCGAGACCGGGACCGGGACAGAGATCGAGATTGGAGGGAATCGCGAGACTTCAGGTCTCGCCGCTCACCCCCTCCTGGACGAGGTCGAACTCCACCGCGAGATTTCCGTGACAGAGACAGAGATGGCCCTCTCGTACCGGATGCTGATAGATCCCGTCGTGGATCCAGAGACGGCGGTCCTCCATCGGCTGGCTCGTCAAATTCTGATCCACCCTTTGGAATGCTTCCCTTTGGACGCGGCGGTGGCTTCATGCGTGGTGGACGAGGAAGAGGAAGAGGCGACTGGCCGTCTGACCGCGGACGAGGACGAGCAACTTACGAAGATCGCGGCGATCGCTATCCCCGAAGTCGATCTCAAGAGGCTCGATGGGGTCGGGACCGGGATCGTGACGACCGTGACCGCGGCGATAGATACCCACCAGAGGCGGACATTATCAGGCGCGATCCCCGAGATGACCCCCGTGAGCGCAACGACCGCGATCTGATACGCCCCAAGAAAGAAGGACGTCCTTCAATATCCCAAGAGCCGTCTGCCCAAGGTCGTGAAGTTTCTCCGCCTCCTGTCGCACCCTCGGCCCCAGCATTTGGATCCGTTCCCAGTCGCACTGGCGCTGACGGTGTACCGGTGACAACGAGTGGTAGTGGCAAACTTCCTCCCTCGGCTCCGCGAGCTCTCACCGACCGCCCCGGATCCTCAGGAAACTCTGCGCCAATGGAGTCCTCGGCCCCCGTCAGCGGTCCGATAAGAGCGGGAAGCCATGACGGCCCTTCCATCCCTGTGGGACCTCGAGCGCATCAGCAACGGCCTTCAAGCAAACAATGGATCAACCCGGATCTCAAGAAAGCCCCGGTGTCGCCCAAGATGATGAGGGCTCAGACGTTCGCGCAGTCAGGTTCAATTTCACGACGGGATAGTAGGGAAAGCGATCATCACCATTTTGAGCAAAGGAGACCTCGCAGTAGTGACGCAGACACTGACCCTCGTGGATCTGGTAATTTCGACAACAGGGCGAGATCAAACCACAGTG